TGAACAAGAAATGTTAAGTTTTTTCCTAGGAATATTTCAGATATAATTTTCATATTGCATAGATGTTTGTTTTTTTTTTTTAGATTAACTGAGACATTCCTTCCATCTCTAAGATTATGTGGCCTAAATCATTTAGATTTGTACATGCATCATTTTCTCCATGCGAAATTGAAATTAAACAACTGGAAAACTGTTATCGAAGACTAGCTGATAGATTTTAGAAAACTGAAGATTCTTAGCAATTATTATTAGATGTCTGACTATTACCATGTCATTGTTATTGCGTATCAGCAAAATATACCTTGTCTTCTTAATCTCTTACTCTCTGAGATTGTCAGTGCTTGTAATAGTGATTGAATCATAATATGTGCTTGATACATGTTTGCTGGCCTTAAAATAGTAAATGAAGTTTTAATGTTAACTATTTTGCTTTATTTGCTCATAACTACACACTAAATAAATCCAAAATTTCATTAGAACAAATCTGGAGGCATTATATTACCCAAATTCAAACTATACTTTAAGCCTGTAGCCAAGAAAACAGCATGGCACTGGTATAAAAATAGGCACATAGACCAATGGAACAGAATACAGAACCCAGAAATAAAGTCAAATACTTACAGCCAACTAATCATCAACAAAGCAAGCAAAAGTAGGGAAACATAAAGAAGGTAAAGGACACTCTATTCAACAAATGGTGCTGGCACAATTGGCAAGTCACATGTAAAAGACTGAAACTGGATCCTCGTGTCTGACCTTATACACAAATTGACTCAAGATGGATCAAAGACTTAAATCTAAGACCTGAAATCATAAAAATTCTAGAAGTTAACATTAGAAAAACCCTTCTAGATATTGACTTAGGCAAAGAATTCATAACCAAGAACGCAAAAGTAAATGCAACAAGAACAAAGATAAATAAATGACATTTAATTAAACTAAAGAGCTTCTTCACAGCAAAAGAAATAATCAGCAGAGTAAACAGACAACTCACAGTGTGGGAGGAAATCTTTGCAAACTATGCATCTGACAAAGGGATAATATTCAGAATTTACAAGAAACTCAAGTCAGCAAGAAAAAAACAAATAATTCTATCAAAAAGTGGGCTAAGGACATAAATAATTCTCAAGAGAAATATAAATGGCTAACAAGCCTATGAAAAAATGCTCAATGTCACTCATTATAAGGAAAATGCAAATCAAAACTACAATGTGATATCACCTTACTCCTTCAGAAATGGCCACAATTAAAACATAAAAAAAATAATAGATGTTGATGTGAATGTGGTGAAAAAAGAACACTTTTACACTGCTGGTGGGAATGTAAACTAGTACAACCACTATGGAAAACAGTGCAGAGATTCCTTAATGAACTAAAGGTAGATCTACCATTTGATCCAGCAATCCCACTACTGGGTATCTACCCAGAGAAAAAGGAGTCATATGAAAAAGACACTTGTACATGCATGTTTATAGCAGCACAATTCATAATTGTAAAAATATAGAACCAGGCCATATGCCCATCAATCAGTGAGTAGATAAAGAAAATGTGGTCAACCATAAAAAGAAATCAAATAATGGCATTCACAGCAACGTAGATGGAGGTGCAGACCATTATTCTAAATGAAGTAACTCAGGAATGGAAAACCAAACATAATATTTCTCACTTATAAATCGGAGCTAAGCTATGAAGACACAAAGGCATAAGAATGATACAGTAGATTTTGGGGACTTGGGGAATGGTGGGAGTGGGGTGAGGGATTAAAGGCTGCACATTGGGCACAGTGTACCCTGCTCAGGTGATGGGTGCACCAAAATCTCAGAAATCACCACTAAAGAAATTATCCACATAACCAAACACCACATGTTCTTCCAGAACCTAGTAAAATTAAAAAGAACAGAGGGTCTAAATTATTCTGTCAAAGTTAATGTAAATATCCAAATTTTAGTGTCTTAGCACAATGGAAGTTTATTTCTTGATTATTGTGGTAGGCAGAATTCTAAGATTGTTCCCAAAATTAGCACTCCATGATGTACATCCCTGCATAATCCTCAATGCTGTGATATAATAGCACTTAATCTCATGATTAGGTCATATTATATAGCCCAGTTAAAAGAGAGATCATCCAAGAAGAGCCTGACCTAATCAGGTAATCCTTTAAAAGAGAGTGAGTTCTTCCTAAAAACAGAAGTTAGAGAAGATTTGATGCCAAGAAGATCCTCTGTTGCTGAATTTAATGGAGGAGGGAGCTTGGCAAGGGCTGCTGGTGTGTGAACCCAGGAGTTTAGAGCAGCCTCCTGTGAACAGCCATCAAGAAAATAAGGACCACAGTTCAAGAGTTGCAAGAAACTAGATTCTGAGAAGCCTGAGAAAGCTTTGAAGCACATCTTTCTACAGTGAAGCCTCTAAATGAGGACACAGCCAGCTGACACCTTGATTTCAGCCAAGTGAGACTTGAGAATCCAGCCATATCATGCTTGGACTTCTAACCTACAAAGCTGTGAACAAATAAATGGATGTTATTTTAAGCAGCTAAGTTTGTGGTAATTTGTTACACACCAGTAGAAAACTAACACAATTATTTAACAGTCTACTACCAGTAGTGATGGCTGGCAGAAGGCTTTCTTTCATGTGGTAATTTTGGGACTCAGGTGCAGCTCAGCCACCACATAAAGACTGGACTCCTCTATGTATGGCCATTGGAAGAAGAATGAGACAGTGGAGAGAGTGTATATATTCACTTTTGCAAAATCCAGCTTGGTTACAGCAAACATCACTTGCATGTACATTTCATTCGTGAGAACTAGCCACATGGCTGCTCCTGGGAGCAGGGTTTCTAGGATATGGAATCCTGGTTAAGCAGGCAGCTTCCTTCTGGAAAATTCATACTGTGAGGCAGAGCAAAACATTTCTGTTGTAGTCAAATTTTAATGTTTGATTAAAGACACTTATGTGTCTCCTTCCAAGTAAGACAAGTAAATGTGATGATATATTCTAATTTGAGATACATAGAGAATTAGAGTAACACTTTTTTTTTTTTTAAAGAAATGAGACACATTCATTATCAGAGACATTTCCAGGTGTAACAGTTTTCTAGGACGAGGATCTGGGCTCTATCCCTGCTGAGAGGTGTCCCTCTGCGATAACCAATATCTTTCCCTCTGCCTGCCAGCTGAGACTGTCCAGAGGGATGATGCTTTGCCCTCACCTACCAATGAGCAGATGCACTTGCATGAGGTCCAGGTGCTGCCAGTCTAGTGTGCAGACTCAGGACAGCATGGCCTTTTCCTTCTCTGGGTCTGGATCTCCAACAGACTCCTAGCATTTCAGGCAGCCCCACTGCCTGATTTTCAGCTACTCACCTACAAAAAATGGAGCAGTCCTCACTCTCCTGCCACCCTCAGGACAGCAATGCCCATGCTCATTGTAACAAGGTTGACTAGTCTGAGGAGTATGTCTTGCATAAATTTGAGCACTAAAGTCCTGTGTTCAGTTGCTGTATTAGTAGCTGAAGCAGCATCTTGTTGGCAACAATTAAGACTTGTGAAGTAGTCCATAGGAATTCCATGAAAGAGTGAGAATAACCCACTCTATGCTACCTGGTTTTGTTTTGTTTTTAAGATAAATTTAGTTAGTTTAATTTTGAACTTCTGGGGTTGATAGAGAAGGAAATTTGTTTTAGATGAACCTTAAAAAATATTCAAGATGGAATAGGAAACATGATTTTCTACATGATCACTACCATTAATTGGTCTGCCTTGCTTTATTTGACATCATAAAAGTCTAGACAAAAGGAAGCTGTAAGAATGTTTTAAATTTGTAGTCAGGAAGACATTCTTATGTTCCAGGAAGGGACAGGGAGGGGGAATAGTGAAGAAAAATAGAAAGAAGAACTGCTGACAAGACCAAAAAAGGGAAAATGAATTCCAAAGGAAGGCTTGCAATTCTCAGGAGGCATGACATTGTCGGTGAACCAGAATATTCCAAATGCTACAGTGACAGCCTTTGCTTCATCCCTTTCTCACCAAGAGGTCTCATCTATATCTGTTCAGGCCTTAGTATTTTTTAGTGACATATTCCTCCTTCTCTCCCTTCCTCCCTGTCTCATTGGTCCTCCTCCCTTCCTTCCTCTGCCTTCCTCTTCTTCTTTCTTTCCTTGCCTCTTTCCTCTTCATTTTCTCTCTTCCCCCCTCCATTTCTTTCTTACACACTTTGTTCTTCCCTCTCTGGGTCAGGTACTGTTTGCAGTGCTGAAAAGGATAGAAGACAACGACCTGTAGGATCTATTAATCCCATGTTAAATAACTGATACAAAGGCTGAAAGGCAGCTGGCATGAAGAGGTTCAGTCATTTTCCCAAAGTGACTTGGGAAGAGTTGGGATGTGTTGAGGGCTCTGATCATGCCACTCCACTGTTCAGTGCCTTCCCTGATTTCCTATTGCCTGGAATAATGCAGTAGAATGAAACTCCACTTCTATAACATGGGAGACAGCCCTCTCCAGTAAATGGTCCCAACCAATTCCCCAAACGTACGTAACTCCTGCCATTTCCTGCAGGGCCCCAATAGCATCAACAGAATACTTATATTCCCTGAACACAACTGAGCTCTGGTTTTTTGTTTGTTTGTTCATTTTTGTTTTTGTTTTTGCATCTTGGTGATTACATTTATTGGAAGAGTTGGAGGGAAAAGTGCCATTTAGCTTAAGAAGTCGTGGGTCTCCCGACCTCGTGATCCACCTGTCTCGGCCTCCCAAAGTGCTGAGCTAACACGGTGAAACCCTGTCTCTACTAAAAAATACATAAAACTAGCCGGGCGAGGTGGCGGGCGCCTGTAGTCCCAGCTACTCGGGAGGCTGAGGCAGGAGAATGGCGTGAACCCGGGAGGCGGAGCTTGCAGTGAGCTGAGATCCGGCCACTGCCCTCCAGCCTGGGCGACAGAGCGAGACTCCGTCTCAAAAAAAAAAAAAAAAAAAAAAAGAAGTCGTGGGTTATGAGCAAATCAATTCATTTCAAGAATGGAAAAATCCTCAGAATTATTTCTTAATATCAAAATGTGTGCAGTTTTCTCTTTCAAATGCTTTGCACATTTAAAGAGGCGATTGTACAAAGTCTCCTATTTTCCATACAGGACAAATTCTTTGTGTCAGCCACCTTTCAGTGGAGGGACAACCAGGACAGCACCATCTCCCTGGATAAAGAGCGTTGCAATGCTCGGTTTCATTGATTTACATATCCCTTCATATGTTTGTTCATCAGTTTCTATAGTAGCCACAGTTTCTTCTACATCTCCTAACATCATATTTAAATGTTGATCATAAGCATGTAATCTACCTTGAAGCCGTCAGTCATTTCCCATTTTCATGTAAATTCACTCATCTAGGCTGAGCCTGATAAGATCCAGGGGCTCCTCTGTGGTTTTGGTAGTTTGTTGCTGGCCCACATAATCTGCCATGTTTCAAATCCTGCACCCTTCCCGCGGAACTCTTACAACTCTATGATACATGCTTGTTACATAAAACCCTGCTTGTTTTATCATATCCTTCCTTGCCTAAAACTCCTAGCCATCCTTCAAAACCCAGACCACTTCTTTTGTGAAGCCTTTCCTGAAACTCACAGGATAAAGTAGTTATACTTCATTCTAAATGCCCACAGGACAATGCCCATATTTCTATTACAGCACTTATTGCATTGTGCTAAATTATTCACATATGTGTCTCACTCACTGACCTCTGAAGTCTCAACAAGAAATACTGGGGCATTATTCACTAGCAAATCCAGTGCTTGCTACCTAGCTTGCGTTCACTGCAATGGAGGAATATATAAGAAAAGCATCACTGATATAACCTATGTACCATAACATCAGTAATAGGATAAAGAATATTAAATATATATATGTAAAAGAAGATAAGGAATGTTCTTTTCCTTCTGTAGTTTATTGATAATTATAAGAAATATGTATTCTACTATAAAATTATTAAAATGTGGGCGTTTACCATGTTGCAGGAATTGTCAGAATTTTTCTACCTTTGTCCAACATTAAAACACTTTTATACTAATATTTATGACCCAAATCAAATACTTTATACAACTCTATGTATGTTGACCCTCTTACCAATTTCTGACTTTTTCACTTTATTTGTAAATTCAAGTGTATATCTTTGGAAAATGTTATTTGGTTGTCAATTTTTTTAAAAATTAATGTATATATGTACACATATGTGCATTATATGGTACATGTTGTGAATATTCATTATATAGCACTTTATACTACATACATATATATGTAGTATAATAAACTATTCATATACACACAGTGATAGAGGGAGAAACCATATTTATACATACTATATATAATCCATACACACACTACATTGTCCACCACCACTGTTTGTATATAGTTTCCTCATCCTTTGAGGCCAGTTGATGACTTTCAGATAATGAGACTGAATGGTAATCTGGGCCAAAAAATGTTGATGCAGCTACCAAACTGCTAATGCTCTTAGCCAGCAAGTGCTCTGTCACACAGTCCTGAGTTGAAGAGTTGAGTGTGTTCTACAAATTGTGTTTACTCCATTGAGGTCTCTCATGTCATTTATTTTGTGCTTAGGTGAACAATTTTGAGTTATAATGTCTAAAAAATTGTGCAAGCGACAGTGCTGGATCTGTCATAAAGAAACAAAAAGTATTAAGCTACAAGTTCAAATGCACATTTTATTATAGCTTGTGGCTTTTTTCAAGGAATTGGCCACCGTATTCAAGATTAGCAGGCCACAAGGAGCTGATTCAAGTCTTTTAACTTATTAGAGGTATTAGAAGCATCCCTTCAATCTGGGAGGATTGACCTGGTATGGTCAGGTATGTCAAGACTTAAGGGATTTGAAGAGAAGTATGATTAAAAGGATTTTGTTAGAATGATCCCCTAAAATGTTGATCCTTTAAGTGTTTTAGGCTGTTGCTTCCTGATTCTTCCCCTCCAATCCCCTTTCTCTCCAAGTAAACAGGATGTCCTTATATATTGCTTTATATTCATTTAACTTGTTTAACTCATCTTTATTTCAAATTAAGGCATACTAGATATAAGTTTCTTGCCTTTTCTTACGTTCACTATCTTTTTCTGAAGCAAGAAAGGTAATCATGATTTTTTTAAAATTAGAAATGTGATTTCTTAAGAGAACCATAGAGTCGGTAGCTGTACATTGGAAGCGGAATATCTGGGGGCATGGAGGAGCACCAAGAGTTTGAAAGGGTTCCCAGGTGATTCTAATGTACAGTCAGGATTGAAAATCACCACTCAGTTGAAGATACATGTCTCTTGATTATATAAGGAGTTAGTGTTTCAACTAGAACACTTTTTTGGAAAGCTTACCCAGATAACTGGTTCTTTTACATTATTCCCCCTCCCACAATTGAGAATTACCTTTCCAGTAAATTCAGATGATGGTATCTGTTAGTTTGGCCCAGAATTCTCAAGTGGGAAAGATATCCTATAAGAAGCATGAGTGTGGGCACTCATTCGGAGAATAATTTTTTAATTAAAAAAATTGACACATAATTTTACGTACTTATGAGGTACATAATGACATTGCAATACATATGATGTATTGTAATCAGATCATGGTAATCAGCATATCCATAATTTCAAACATTTATCATTTCTTTGTGTTGGGAACATTCATTACACATGCATGGAATTGCTTTCTCTATACCAGCTCTTTCCCTTCCCTTGAATGTTGAATAAAGCTTGCCTTTTTAGGAGATTAAAGAGATCTGTCTAAATCCCAGATATCTCTGTATTAGATAAAGAGATGGAGTGAGGATCCAGGCAGCTCTGTCCACTTAGAAAAATCTGGAAGTTCAGGAACTGTAACAGCACAACTTCACTGCACTGCCGTGGGTGTTGCACACAGGTTAATTCATTAATGATTAACCACAGAGTCTGAATTGATGCGAGATGAAGGAAATTGAAACTCTGCACCTGTGTGAGGCTTCTGCACTAGTTTCTACCCCAAAGTCTTACAGAAAATGTTTTTCTCCACAGGTTCGAACCAGTGTCCTACCAGAACATAAGGATCCCCCGCCAGAAGTTGGGGTAAGTGTTTCTTATGTTTCCAAAAGGCACACACGTTGCTTCTAAATTAATCATTTGGATTTTCTCTGGCCTCCTGCTTGGTGGCTGACAAATAAAATTGAATTACGTTAAGAGGGTGTGGCTCTTTGAGGAGGCACTGTCACATATTTGCTGAATTGCATGGAATTCATTTTTTTGTTTCCTGAAAATCATCCTCAAGTGAATTCATATTTAGTTCAGCTGGCTAGAGATGAGCCTAGATTTTGCCCTGCAGGTAGCTGAACTGTGATTCAGAGCCAAGATTCCTGGACCAACAGGAGGCGAGGGAAATTACAGATGTGATCTCTACCGCTTCAGGAAGGAGGAAGAGAACCAGCCATAGGATTGTGATATTTTGTTTCCTGCCACTTAAACACTGTAATGAAGGTCAAAAGAGAGGCAGCCACCAGTGTTCAGTCCAATGTTGGAAAATCCTGCTGAGGTTTTCTTGCTGCACTGAACTATTGCCTCTCCAGTATTCAGAATTTAGAAGAACAAGAAGGTACTGGGTGCTTTCTGCTTAGACAAGGCTACAGTAGGTGGTGGCAGCCCCTAAAAGATACAGACCCACAGGATGAATCCTTGAGATCTGTGTGTTCAGAGAGGAGGAAAAAGACTAGAAGTAAATTAGGTCTAAGAAGCCCTGGGGCTGAGCCAACTGGAAGAACTATTTGAAATATCCTGAAATTCTACAGGCACTTGACAACCTTCTTCCAGTCAGTGTGAGGGCACTGTACTAGGTACCATTCATTTTCTCATTGAACACAGCCACAAACTGCCAAGGAAGGACTTCAAAAATATGCACCAAAGTTTGACTCGACTGAGCATAATGTCAGTTATCTCTGCAGCTGTTAGTGAAGAAGCAGAGGGAAAAGAACAATGTCTTGCTTTCTCATGCCTAACACAAGCCTTTCATCTCTTCCTGGGGACTGATTGAGTAACTGCTTTGACTTGGGGAAATCCTTGCAGTTTTTCTGCCTGTCCCTTCAACCTCTTGTGCCACTCACTTCCACCACCAATCTCTGTGCTGACTACACAAACCTTCATTTAGTTCCGCCAGCGCATCCAGAAAGTTCTCCCCAGCCTCAGGCCTCCACAGACACAGGCAGATGGCCTTCTGTCAACCTGGACTGCTGCACCCCATGGGGAGAGGGCTCCCTTCCACGGCTCAGGGCCAGCTCACATGTTTCCACTACTAGACCCTGGGGCCCTGCTTCCAACAGGACCCTCCATCCTAAATGCACACTCTCATCACACCCATGGCACTGCTTCATAGAATGTGAGACTTTTTAAACTATTACTATGGGTAATACATTGTTCTACCAAGGTGTTCCATTTATTTACCAAGGTTCAAGGAAGCTTAGCTGGTTTAATTTTTTTCTTCTGTGATCACTGCCTGCCCTGACCCCACTTCACCACTGCTCTTGTGTTGAATTCCCCTTGCTTGAAGCTTTAATGATATTTTGGCCCAATTGTGTAGATTTCTCCGAATTTTTTCTCTCACTCAGGTTCTTGGGAATCCATCTTAATTATCTTAAACCTTGAGTCTCTTATCTAATTTTATTTTCTTCTACCTCTTCCCACCATTTCCCCCTTAGACTAGACTTTCTGTGACTCTAACAGCGTGCAATAGGGAGGAAGTCTAATGTGAGTCCCACACATGGCCTGTCCTTTCTTCTTTTGATTCCTTAGTTGTGGCAGCAAAGAGGAAGGAGTAGGGAGACAGAGGTTTATTCTGGGCTTGCTCCTGGTGAGGGTGAGGTTTCCTTACTGCTAGACTTGATGCTTCTCAGGCAGTGACTGCTGTTAGAGTCCTCTCTGTGGCAGATACTGATTTGCTGGCTCTCTGATGGACAAAGGTTTATTTCTGGGGACCTTGTCAGGTTCTCCTCATAGCATAATTGCCTACCATGGGGGACCTGGCTCTGGGCCAACTTCCTCCACTGCCCACCCCTACTCCATTCCTTCTTATTGTGAGATCTACCATTCAAGTACCTGGCTCCAGGTCAGCTATTTTCTGTGCTATCCAAATACATGAAACTTACATGTACTTGCCATCCCACATGGAAGAAATGCAGGCTGTTCCGTTGTGTGTTTCCTCTTTCGGCTCAGCCATCTCTCTGCTGATCCTTTCTACAAGCCCCAGCAGCATCAGGCACTGGATCATATTCAATGATTCTCAAAAGAGAGACAATCAGTCCCCAGTGGAGGTAAACATGGTTTAGATACCTCTAGGCTTTATAAGTGATTTTTGGTACCAGACCCTCTTGGCTTCAGCTTTGGGGATAAAGATATTTTCCTGGGGGATGATTAAGAGAGAAACTAGCCACATCTCCAAAATCAGACACCTTCCTAAATGCTGACCTCTCCTCTCTTCTAGCCCTAGCTTTATATTAACTGGGTGTATTGTGGCTACTTGCAGACCAGCATCTCTACACTGGTTCCTCATCAAGCGTGTTAATAAGATTGCTGGCCTCAAACACTGAAGGTTCTCTGAACATACAATGGGGTACATTTATGATATTGTGTCTTCATCTTTGACAAAACTCGACTATAATTCCTGGACTAAAAGAGAAATCTCGATTGGTATCCTGTGACATGCCTATTTTTGCAATTAGGAATGTACCCTAAGGCAAGTAATGTGACCAACTGTGGCTTAAAACTAATTAATAGGTTTGTTTCTCTCATGTTCTAGAAGTCTTGGGAAAATTGTCCAGGGCTTCAGCTACTCAAAAGTGACTTGAAGCAGCCAAACTCTATCCATCTTCCTGGTCCTTCTTTCTTAGAGAACTACACAGACTGGCCATGGTACCCCAGGGAGCACATTCTGGGTTGAGTGAAGAATAAAGGGAAAAAGCTCAGCTGGCCTATTCCTTCAACTTGGAAAACAGTAACTTCCTGGGAAATTTCATTTTGTATACTGTCACTTACATAGTATTGGGAAGACCTAAGTCCTTAACTAGAAGAGAATCTGGGTACAATTCTCATTTAAACAAAATTGAGGTGCTATTAGTAATGAAGAATGGTCAGGAAGTGTGTTAGGTAGGCAATTAGTCATGTCTCCACACTCCTGCTAGATGTACTCCATGATAACAAAGTCTCTATTTCTAATATTCCTGGCTTTGTGCTTGAAAGCTAGCAAATCTATGATCTATGTATTGAATAAATCAAAAAGCGTACCACGATTTTATTTTGCCAACCATTTTGTGTATTGTTAGAACCACCAGAAATAAATGAGTGGGGGATTCTAGAAATGACTGTAATAATACAATAAAAAATCTAACAACTTTTATGACCCATCAGAACTCAAAATGGCAAGTATGACTTCAGAACTAAATATCAAGCACAGTAAGAGTAAGTCTAAAAAAGAACAAGTCAGCATGCCTTGATTTCCTAACACCCTCAGATTACATGTTATTTTGGAGAGAGAAGTTAACATATGTTGACTACCTATGAAGTACCACTTGTTAATATATATCAGCGAATCCTCAAAATATTTCCTTGGACACTCCAAAACAGGTCTGAGAGTTTAACCTCTTGGCCAAGGACACAGAGCCAGTAATGGCTCTGTCATTACAACATACAAGGGTTCTACTCTTCAAGTACTCTAATTTTTTTTAAAGAGCTTAGATTTTTTAATTGTAATCTTTCAAATATGTTAGGTGTGTTTCTTTTCATTCTCAAACAGAATTTACCGGATGCACCCAAATATTTTCTTGATGACTTAGTCAAGCAAATATTAATATGTGCTCTTAGACCTTTTGAGGTGTATTCACAAGTAAAGATAGCATTCTGTGATAAGTGACTTTACCTTAAAGTGCTTTTTAATGTTTCCTTTGGGCTATTCATCAACTTTTAATAGATTTCTTCCCAATTATTTTTTCTTTCTGATGTATTTTTCAATGTTAATAGTTCATTTAGTCTTTTTCTCTTCCTGTGGAGTAGGAAATAATGTAACCATATCTGTTATGGTTTACAGAAAAAAAAAAGTACCTAGGCTGTGAAAAGACTGGTCTGTAGGTTATGTGTAAGAGATGTTGTATATCAGTCTTATGATACAACCTTCAACTTTTCAAAGACCTTTAAAAACTTATACCATAGTTCCTGTATGTTGTTTTATGAGGATAGATCAAAATATTATTGATATATTCATTTGACCTCTAAACCAGCAGTGTTCAATGGATATAATGTATGTCACAAAATGCATGCCGCATATGTAATTTTAAATTTTCTAGCAGCTGTGTTTTTAAAAAGTAAGAAGAAATAGGCTGAATTAATTTTAATATATTTTATTTAACCCAATATATGCAAAATATTATTCCGAAGTGTAATCAATACATTATATATTCGTATTCCTTTTTCATACTAAACATTCTAAATTCAGTGTGTATTTTATACTGAGTGTACATCTCAACTTGGAGTAGCCACATTTTACCTGCTAAAGCTAGTGGCTACTCATTGGATAGCGCAGCTCTGGAGAGTAGTTGAATAAATTTGATGAGGTTCATGCAAATTGCAATTAAAAAAAAAAAGAAAAAAAACCTGTGCTTTGAATATAGGCTTTGTGAAAAGAACATGAATGATGGAGGTTTGGACATCTGTGGCCACATGTGTGGTGGTGTACCTTCTCTGACCCCCTTAAAGGTGACTGGGGAGCCACAGAGGACCTGCTGCATGGAGATGTCAAATCCTACTGAGCAGTCTGGATGTCTGTGACTTGCTCGGAGTGGCTCCAGGGGCTGGTGGGATACAGTATTCATGTGGACACTCCCTGTAGAGAGAGGCCAGGGATTCTGACAGATGCCCCACTTTTTTTCATCCTGTTTGATAGTACTCTCCAGCCAGGTGAGAGTGATTGAAATCATGTAGCAAACAATGTAATGATCATCTGCTTTGGGGTTCTTGCATCAGAATAACTGAGTGTTGCATTGTCATGAGCAGGCAAGAAAGGTTAGAGCTGCATGTTGTGCAAGCAGAGAGTCTGTCAGAAGGTAAGGGAACTGCCACCTGTCCTAGAAATGAGGCGCAGCATGGTGGGGATGAAAGAATGCTGGAGAGAGAAGCAAGAAACCCGGGTTCTAACTTGGCTTCTATAGATTAACTAGTTCGGTGACATGTGTAAGCCAGTTTACTCTTAGTGGCCCCAGTTCCTTCATCTACAGACGAGCAGGGCCTTAACAATCCTTAAGGCTCTTTAAATATCCTATGCAATCTAATACAACTTACAGTTATAAGGGATCATAGGTAATATTTTCTCAACAATAATACTCATAACTATACATTACCTTTTGGCCTTTGTATCTTTTTTCATCTTTTTTTCTAAAATGTATTCTAAGTTATATTTCCTCCAAATCTAATATTTATTTTTAAAGATATATTTTTCTTTTTGTAGTGCAGGCATTTCTTATAGACTCCTCAAAAAATACTTTGCCTTTTCCCAAAAGTATTTAAGCTGTGCATTAGATGCTTTTAAGGCATCTGACTTCTAGTTATATGATCTTAATCACTATGCAAATATTTATGGGAGATGTTTTATTTTCCTGGCTAGATGTTTTCTTTGCCTGGATTACTTTAATTTTCTCATAGCAATAACTTTGAGAAAGATAAGTTATCATATGCATTTTTTTTTTCAGCAACTAAGGTCTAGAGTAGTGAAGCAACTAGTTCAAGGCCCCAGACTTCATAAGGGAGAAGACAGGGAAATAAGAAGTGGCAATGCTTAGCAGTAGATGGTGAACCTGGGGGCTGCAAGAAGTAATGTAATTGTCCAGATTTTCATTTTTGAACAGAATAACTGATTTAGAGCCACACTTCAGACCTCTGAGCTCCAACTCTAGTGAAGCTTTCTCTTTTTTGTCTTTATTTCCCCCGATAGAAACAGCACCAAAGGAGATTCAGAAAAAAATGTCCCTTGAATTACACTTAAAATATTAAAAAATTAAATAACTTATCTTAAATTATATAATTATGACAGTGATAGCAAAGATACAATAGCTTTATATTAAATTATTCTTTTACATTAGCATCATGTGCTATAGAGAAGACTCTTCTCATTCATTCTTTTACAATGTGTTCAGCAAGTATTCACATAGATTAAAGATTTATTTTCTAACTTTGGGGGTGGGAGAATCCTGGTTTTAGTTATACTGAGGTGAAGAAAACAAATAAAAAACCAGCTCAAAAGTAAATGTATAGGCAATCCCATTGTTTGTTGTTGCAGTATAAAACAATTGTCTTCACATTTTTTTGATTTTATTAATGTAGTTTATACAATATGCAGTCTTGATATATAGTTATTTTTAGGATTAAAAAAAGGATAGCATTGGTACCCAAATAATACCTCCTCTTGTGTGACAAGTTTACAAAATGTATGATGCCATCATTATCCATATTGATTTTTAACAGATTTTATTATTTGTGAGCACTTTCATTATCCTTTGGGATCAAGCAAGTGGCTGACAGTTGTAATGGATAAACCTGACTCATGGGCATTGTCCTTGGCACACTGTATGCACTCACAGTGCAGCACTCTGTTCCAGACACTGGGCTCAGCTAGGAGATGGACAAGCCAAGGTTCTGCTTCCACAGGAGCTCCTGGTCTGGTGAACAGGAGAAACATTCAATGGCTTGTGGTCATAAATTTTACTTGCAGCTGTGCCTTATGGTGAGTCCATAGTTTATGTCTGAAAATAGCAATTCCACCTGTCTCTAGCTGCTACATTCCACTGTGGGGTGTTTGCTACTTTTATTGCTAAAAAGACTGCAATAATCTCATGACATGTGTAGCCAGCTTTATTAATTCTAAAACCATCCATACCTCCAAAATCTTAAAAGGCAAATAGAAAATAATTTGCAATTTTGGAGTGTCATAAAATTTATGATTGCTTAAAAGTTTTCTTTGAGTGTGAATAATGAGTGGGAATTTAATTTAAAAGCTATGATTATCAGTGAAAGAGAAAGTGAGATCAACATCTCTTTAAAATACAAAATGCTAAAATAAAATTCACTACAGCAGTATACGATCTGCGTACTACAAAATTGTTTTGATTTTCCACATTTCAGTGAATTACAGTGGTTTATAAATAGCTGCAAAAGTAGCTTTTCTCCTATATCTAATAGAATCACTTACTTAAAGGCTGGTGTCTATGCCATTTGTTCATTCATTCATTCATTGTCAGTAAATATTTACCAGTTACCTACTGTGTGCTGTGCAGTGGAGGGTTATCAGCAAACAAAAGAAAACTCTTTGTAGAGCTTCAATTCTTGATTATTTTTTGGAGAGGTGCAAAATAAACAAATATATAATATATATAATATGTCAGGTGGTCATAAGTGTCGATAGAGAAAAATAAAACAGGAATAGAGAATAGTGGAGCGTGTATGTGGGAGGGGAGTGTGCTTCTGTAAAGGGATGTTTTGGAAGGCATCTCTGATGAGGTGACATTTCATTTCATTCAGGAGGATCTCTTCGAGTCCCTCTCTGCCCCTGGCTGAAAAGTCACCCTAATTTCTGCATGCTTTGCTGATAGAGCTCACAAACTTCCTTCTTTGTCTTGATTCACTCTACTTCATCACTCATGGACTTATCATCAGAGCTTGTTTCTACAAATCTTCTACTTTTTGCCTAATGTTTCTCACTTAATAATTTAGTCTCAGATTTTTCAGGCTTTGATGACTTTGTGTCTAAACTAGCTCTTTGAACTTTAAGTCAATTAATTGAGTTTATCATTAACAATATATGGGTATCTCCTTCAGAACTGAGTTGTATTTTCTTGCCTTGCCTTGCCATGCCCTTCCTTGACTTTCCTTTCCTTTCTTTCCTTTCCTTTCTTTCTTTTCTTTTCTTCCTTCCTCTCCTTCCCCTTCCTTCCTTCCTTCCTTCCTTCCTTCCTTCCTTCCTTCCTTCCCTCCCTCCCTGCTTCCTTCCTTCTTTTCTTCCTCCTTTTTCTTTCGTTCGTTCGTTCATCAGTTCTTCTCTCTCTCTTTTCATTCATTCGTTCGTTTGTTCCTTCCTTCCTTCCTTCCTTCCTTCCTTCCTTCCTCTTTCTTTTTCTTTCTTTCTCTTTCTTTCTCTCTCTCTCTCTCCCCGTCCCCCCCCACCCCCCCTCAAATGAGGTCTCATTCTGTCTCCTAGGCTGGAATGCAGTGATGCAATCATAGCTCACTGCAGTCTTGAACTCCTGGCCTCAAGCAATCCTCCTGCCTCAGCCTCCAGGGTCACTGGGATTATAGGCACGACAGGTGTGAGCCACCATGACCAGTGTGTTTTACCAAATGTTTGATTTTAAGCCTTTTAGGACCAATTTGTCTAAGTTAAAGATTTTAAAAGAGGGATAAAAATTCTGACTTCAAGATTTTCTTTCCTCTGCCTAGCAATTTCTGAGTATGGATGTAGCCATTCATGTATGAAATACTTTCCTATTTACCTCTAAAAAGATGCCATTACTCTCAAATTCTTTGTCCAGCCTCTCATTCTAGTGCAGCTTGGCAGCAGACCTATGATGAGAGACTGTTCTGGAAGAAGTACCATTGACTTATTGTAGAGTATTTACATTTTGTTAGGCCACAGTGGCATAAGAAATAACATGGGTTTAATATTTTCATATTTACTCCTTGACTTGAAGGGAAGAACGAGAGCTCCTTTTCATGTTATTTATCCCATAATATTGTGACTTTTAAATCAGAAGTAGCTGGGGATATTAGAAAGAGATGGTAGGGTTTTTATCCTGGGAAAGTAAAAACAAAAACAATTTGGAGTTGTATTCTTTGCATTGAGTCAAAAAGAGTAGAAAGCAGGTATTCAAAGGTCATTAACACCTAATATAATAGGCTAAAAAAGTAATTAAAAAAATGTAACTGAATAAGTGTCATTCTCCTTCGTGTATTAGAATGAAATTATCCCATGCTAGTAAAGAAATAACAAAGGAAAAATACTTTAAAACATTGCTGTGATGGGGGAAAACTAAAGCATTTCTATTTATAACTTGCACAAAGTCCCACATAAAAATAGCTCCAACTAACAGATTTGCTCATATCTGGAATACAAAGTTGTTGCTGCCAGTGATTTGAGGAATTCTAATAAGAGGAACAACAGCATTGGTAAATATGGAAAATTTATCATCTTTTCTTTTCCCTCAGTTTTCATATGCAGAGAAAATTATGGTTAGTGAAACAGTTCTGGGTGCTGCATTTTACCTCTTGTTATTTTCTAGCCTGTTGATCTCTTTTCTTTTAGGGAAAATGATACGTTTTCACCCTTTAATCCTACCCCATGAGGTGGATATATTATTGATAATTTTATCTCTGTTACTGAAATATTTGTCAGGCTAATAGATTTAATATTTTATACTTCTACAGACTAATTTTGTGTGATTGATGTGACAGCAAACATATTAAAGAACCTCAAGTTAATGAAACCATTCTTTCTGTTATTTTCAGCGAAGTTTCTTGGGCTATGCCAGTTTTAAAGTGGGAGAGCTACTGAAGTCAAAGGAGCAGTTGCTGGCTCTGAGCCTGAGGTGGGTCTCTTTGTAGAAACACTGTTAAAGTTAATAACAAGCGGTATTTGTTGATGGCCAGTGTGTTTGAAAGTCACAATTCTTGCAGATGTTAGATGTCAGCTCTCAAATAGCTAATGTTCTCCGCTGCAACAAGTTATAGTGAAACAGCAATTATTCAAGTTCACATTGAAGTTCATGTTTCAGGTTGTGAAATGTTGTTAGCCCTTGTAAGAAAAAACAACATTACCTTATCATTAAAGTGATGAAATTCTTTGAAAGTAAGAAAGTAGATATAAATTATGATCACATTATTAAATATTTTTTCTCTTATCGAAATGTTACTTTTTAATCAAATAACTTTCCATATTTGAAATATGTTAGAGGCAATATCATAGTTTTATGATAATAGAGAGTAAGCTGATTATTCTTTTCTCAGCCTATGTTGGTGCTATACTATTAAACATAAACCACTTAAACCACTTATCATTTAAAACACATTCTTGACACAGACAATAGATCTTAGCTAATTCTGAGTACAGTTTGCTTTGAAATAGGAGATGAGACAGCAGTCTTTAGGAAGTCACACTATTTTAATTACTAAGAAGAGCGTTAAATAAAATAAACTTTTCTTTTTAAATTCAAAGTAAATTTGAAAACACATAAATTTTGAAACAATTGTTTTCTAACAGTATAGTAACTTTCATAATTATGCATACATTGGGAATACTGCCTTGCACTATTTTTATGGTACAAATGAATACAACAATTGTATAGAACACCATTTGTAAATGTTAAGACTCTCTTATTTTGATGAAACATGGAGACCACTTTCAAGGAGCTGGACAATGTCTTAAGTTTGTTTGTTCCTTTCCACCAAGGACCCACTTGTAACCAACAATTTATTTCGATAAAGATGTGATGACTTATGCTAGCATCTCTACTCCACGATTTGTCTTTTTCTGATTTTTTTCTAATCCTTACAGCTCCTCATTTTGATTTGATAATATAATTTAAATATAATTTAAACTATGTAATACTTCAAGCAGAGAAATGAGTCATGGATTCTAATGAGGCTGCCGTCTGCTCTAGCTTTCTTTAGGTTATGTCTCTTAAACATCTGGTGTTGGTGTTGGTGTTATATTTTGTATGGGAAAACATATTAAAATCTTTATGGTTTTATGATGCTATTACCAATACAATTTTGCTGCTGTTATTGTTTTCAGTTTGAAGTATAAAGGGTCAGCTAAAAAGGCTGGTTATCAGTGTCACAGATAACCTAGAAAATATCATCATTCTAGCCTGACTGTTGACTCTGACCCATATACCCCTGGATTCATAACAGAAGATATCAAACATTGAGCTGTCTTAGGACTCCAAGCAGTCCACATGTTTTCTAGATCAGATGCATACCATGTTCTTTGTCATCTTACTGAGTCACAAGCCCCAGTATTCATTATGACATAACAGTCATTAACATCAGAAGCATACTACATAGTAGTGCAACATTTAGACATTGGTTTGAAACAGAAATCAGGGGACCAGAAGTTCTTAGTAAAATGAAAATTAGTGAACACACAGTACCTTAGAGAGAGAACAAGCACTAAAGGGTCAGTTTTAGAGTATTACCCTTGAAAGAGAAAAGAAATACATAAATTTCATATTTAGATGGAAGCAAGACAAATTTCTTCACTTTTTATTTTAATACCCCGATTCCTAGTCATTTGATCTTGATTATATAAAACAAATTCAACAACGAAGAATTGACTTTTCTAAAAAAAATGTAATGTTAGAAAACCAATTCTGAAAGGACTAAGTTATTATTTTTCCCAGTGTTGTGCTTTGCCAAATTTGTGGTTTTCTCTCCCTGTGAACCACACAGATTATAGATTTATCATAGCCTCTTGATTTCTGGTAGATGGCTTTTTAAAAAAATTCTGATGTAATTTATTTTCTTTCCACTGATTCTGTCTCTTAAGTATCGAATTAGAAGAGCCTTAGGTCAGCCTTAAGAAGCATTTTTGTTTTGTTTCGATTTTTAAAATGTTCCTTTGCACAGATTATTTCTGACTTTTATTTTATAGTCATTAATTTTAAAACAGTAAAATTCTCCGATTTCTGTAAAACAAATTCACAGAAGTAACAGCATTCTTTGATAATGAATAAAGTTCCTTTTCTTCATGATTAATTTTAGCTTCCCCAAATCTTACAGTTGTGCTTGTATTCACTATTTCTTTGGGAGCTTCTTATGTGATAATTCAGATTCTAAAACTTTCAAACTAATTCCACAGAGCACTGTGATTTAATATAGCTTCCATGTCATATGTGCTTTGAACTGGAGATCAAGGGCAGGGGATATATTGCTTTTATTTTTTTCCTGCAGGAAACTTAAAGGAACAAGACATGTGCATCTAATTTATAGATTTAGACTAAAATTTAATGAAATATGATATTGTGTATTTTTTAAGATGTAGAGTAAAATTCGTCTATTTGTATTGGGGAAAATGCCTCTAATGTATAGAGTGGTTTCTATTCATATGTCACCTTTAGTTAAACGCAGAATTTACTATGTTTTTGAGTGTTCTAGCATCCCAAATGGACTTGGGTTCTTTTTAGTAATATCGTCTATATCTTTATATTACATCTACTCTGTTTCACTAATGTGCATTTGGTAGTTCCTGTCTCCTCTTACTTCTTTTTTATCTCAATTATATTTTCTGTTTTTGTTTTCTAATTCATTGCTGTGTAGTCCTGACTTCTAGACTTGTAAATAAAGTAGAGTTTCTGTATGGAGGGTTATAATTATAGCTGTGAAAGACGCTTGATGATATTTTAAGAATGATAACAAGAATGACAACAACAAACCATGTGCTTTGTGCTTTGATAATTATATTGGAGATATCTCATTGACCCTTATCAAATGAGATGCTATTCTTAATTTCCATTTCATAAATCAAGAAACTGAGGTATAGAAAGTAGTTAAGTAATTTGTGTAAAGTTATAATGCTCTTAAATGGGAAAGGCAGGGTATGAAACCACACATTTCTAATTGCAAAATCCATGATTTTAATGACCGACATTTTGTCTCTTTCAACAAAAGAGAAAACAGAGAACTAGTTGAAATTCATATCACACGTCACATAACTTAATAATGACAGAGCAAAGCAAGGACTGAGGCCCAGAATCAGTTTTTCATGGTTTCTTCCATGTTTGACTTCACGACCGTGCCTGGGCTTACAGAAAGTGATGACTAAAAGAGTGGTCCTATGCCAGGGTAGGCATGTTAATCATGATGGAAAAGTGCAAAAGGACCTGCTAGTTTAAGGGGGGATTGAAGGCTGAGGGAAACCTATGGAATGTGTTCTTATCCCAAAACCATGACTGTATCCTGATCTCGATCTGGTTTGTTGCCGAAACACCTGACAATCCTTTGCTCTACCAACCTGACATAATTTTGGGGGGACTAGACAAGTAGAACTTTGGAACATCGTAATAATGTCTTATGAGTTGATGAATATAAAAGTTAAATGTAAAATAATATAAAAGTTGTTTCTCTCTGTGGAAATGATACTAGCAGTCAGGAAAAAGATTACATTGATCTTAAAGTATTTAAACAACCACAGATGCAAAACAACAACTACAAAGGTAAAATTTGTTTCCTAGGAAATTTATCTCATGGGAGTGGGGACAGAAGCAAGTGTTCCAGCCTTGTCATGCCTTTGTTGTGTGACTCCCCACAGTTTAGATTTCACTCAGTGCTCATTCATTCAGCAAACATTTACTAAGAATGTTTTATGTTCTAAGTACAGGGATAGAGTTAATATTTTCCCATTGATGTTACCAATTATGTGTTTAATGAAAAAAAATCTCATTATTTACTGAGCATCTGCTAGCATGCAAGGAATATGTGAGGTACTTTTCATGCATTATCTTATTTAATCCATGTGGCATTATCATCTGTCTTATAGCAACTTGTCTAAAATTCTACAGCTGCTGACTGTACAAGTGGGATTGGAACTCAGTTTGGTCTGACTCCAGAGGCTATTCTACTTTTATTTTACTACCTAGTAGGAAGCTCAAGATCTAACAGAACATTTTCTTCCTTGTCTATTTTAAATTCTATTGTTCAATGGGTTTTAGGAATCTCAATTAATTTTTACTAATGTTTTATATTAAAATTCAATTTTATCTGCCTGCAACATAGTAGAGGTTTAATAATTATTTGTTGGAGTTTCGATTCATGATGATTACTTCCTTATACTTCTATGGATGCTAAATATAATGCTAGCACCAAGACTTCATTTCTGGGTGTAATTCATCTAAATTGGTGAATATTATGCAGTATAGGCATTAGAGTATATCTGAGGCAAGCAAATTTCAGAGTAATAGTGAAAGTTGTAATCTGCTTTAAAAGCTGAAAATCTTAGAATCTACATTTATTTCAGTACAGGGCACTTTACCTTGTCACAGAAACTTTCAGTTCATCTTAACAAGGAGTTTATTATTTCTTTTGTAACCTTCTACATGTCACCACACCCATACCCCACCAATTAAACAAATTTTGTATCATTTTATCAGGGTGAATATGATAAAAATTTTTCTTGAATAGAGATGTGCAAGTATTTATTCATAGAAAGGGAATATGATTTTCATTTATTACTTCTACCACATTTACAGAAGTGTTTTTTATGGAACAAATAACATAAAACACGGATGATCTTAAATGGATATATAATTACATTTTATAATATATAGATGTATGCAAGATGCTATGAAAGAAAAACATTTAACTTCTACTGTTTTTTAAATTTCTCCTATTTTTATAATATTTATGTGTATACATATGCATGCCTATGTACGTGTATTATAGATTATGTGGATGAATATGTGTTTGGGCATCTATATCATTTTAGAACATTTTGCTTCCTCACAAACTATGAATATTTATTTCCTATTTTTGTCAAATGTTTATGCCTAGAGATGTAAGATCCAAATTGTGAGGTTTTTAAGTTTTTATTTTT